ACACACACACACACACACACACACACACACACACACACACACACACACACACACACACACAAAAATCAAAAAGTAAATAATGCAGTCCTTGAATGGTTTTTTGGTGGATTGAATGCATATATTTGAATATGTCCTGGTTTTTGCATAATGATGCAAAGTATTCTTCTGTCTCTATCTAGTAATTAGCAGTGACGTTCAGCAACTTTCTCTGTATGCTGTAAGTGGATGGGGGTGTGTGGGGTTTGTTCACTGGGGTGTTAAAGATCACAGAGGAATATATCAGCCTTTGATGTTTAATTGTATTGTAAAACACACTTTAGAATATTTCTGCATAAAGTAGACTTCTGGCTGTGCTGTGCTTTGTGTTTGCTGTTTCTTTTGTGTGTTTGTCTGTCAGTGTGTGCTGTGTGTCTGGGAGGTGTGTGTGTGTGTGTGCGTTTTCAACTTTGCGTCTTGTCTCTGTGTATTCGTGCGCTGGAATCTTTGTGCTTTTGTGTGCGTACGTGTTTTTTTTTTTTTTCCCTTCGTCTGAGTTTTGTGAGGTTGTTGCTGGTGTATATTCAAATGAAAATGCTTGTTTTTCTTTTTCTCCTTTATTCTCACACTGAAGAGGGTAGGATTTGATGTCTGCGATGATGGAGCAGTCTGGAAAACAGTGTCAGTGTGAGGGCTGAAAAGGCAAACTGAGAAGACAGATGCACATGAAAACAGAGAGAGATACGCGCGCAGAGAGAACGCAGATGGAAATTTATTTGAGCAGAGGTTAGTTAAGAGCACGCCGACAAAGTGTTCGGCCTCCGCTCAGGTAACCCTCCGTTAAGATGTCGATGCGTTCGTGATGTCATGTTTAACACAGTGATCTAGATGAACAGGATGTCCTGCCCTTCTTCATCCTGTTTCCTGTTTCCTGCCTGGCCTGTTGGCCATTATTACGGCAGCAGCCTGCTGGGTGGTCTGTGCTCGGCAGTGCTGACCGCACAATCATATCATCAGCTGCAGCCCACCTAAAGAGACACCCAAAACACCTCACCATACTTGAGGCCTGCTGTCTGAAATATTTGGACAGGGAGAGAGAGAGAGAGAGAGAGGCCCGGGAGGCGAGAAGGCTGGAGGAGTGCAGGAGCAGAGGAGTCTGAATGATAAGACAAAGAGAAACATTTAGAGTAGAGCAGAGTTTGGGTTTCTTTGTCCAAACATGAGATCATTCCAATTAGGTTGAAAGCCTCCAACATCAAGACATAAATGTTCAAATGAGAGTTAAATGAGAGTTTTCAGGCTTATAAACTGGCACATTAACTTCCCAAGACTTAGCCAACTTTCAATCCTGTGAGAATTTTTCTTCTTCTTTTCCTGCACAGCGCAGACAGTTTTAGGGGTAACGCAAACATGACATCTGTAATGCTGACTTGAACCGTTACGTGGCGAAACCAGAATTTATCTGACAGATTTTTTAGAAGCCAGTTTGTCAGAGAAGTGTTTCCTGTCTGTTTATGGAAATGTAGC